GGCCTGCTGAAGGAGTGAATTGCTCCCACTTACACTGAGATCCGTCACTAGGCAGAACTAAGCAGATCCGAGTGGCAGAGAAGTCCTTATCATGGCCTTCCATACATTCTCATTTAATTGTTTACTGAAGCATCATACTTATTTTAAAATACATTTAAAACGTCCTAACGGATTCCCCCCCCCCCGCCCCCAGAGACCACTAAATCTCCAAACGACGTTACATCTCACACAATCCCTTTAACGCCACATAAATCTTTGCAAATTAAGCGTATGTGTTATTACTGGATTTTGGTAAGAGTTATTCGATGCTAAAAGAGCAATCTACCCCGCATCCACAAATCTGCTCCAACGACCCTGGCTCCCCTGGGAGCATTACAAGCGCAGTCTGAAGCGGTTGGCGGCAGAAACCAGCCGGGCTCTCCATGCAATACCAGAATATGTCCCAGTCCTTCCACCCAAAGCTGCCCCTTGCCTTCAGAGCTACTGCTCCAGCCCAGCCCGCCCTGGGATTAACCCTCCGCACGCAACTCCCTGTCCCAAAAGCTGACAGCCTCGCAGGACAGCATGCTTCTCACCCTTAACTTAGGGTTAGGGTGATTTTAGATTTAAAAGTCTGCACCGACCAGAAGAATCCCCCCGAGTACCAAGCAGGAAGATCACAGAGAACGTCTTCTGTAGCCTGATGGATTGGATTTCACATGCAAAACCTGTTGTATGAGCTCAGAGGATGTCTTATAGCCGTGCTCGATATAAAACTTCCACCCTCCGTTATGATCGTTAGCAGAGAAGCACCGGCAGAAAGCTCCAGGCTCTCCTCTGCCCGCCCTTCACCAGCTCCCTGGAGCTGCAGCTTCGGGTTTTGGGTGGAAAACCCCTGTGTCATAAACCGCCTGTTGCATCATCATGAAAACAAACTGTGTGGAGGAGACTTATTTATACCCATACCTCCGTAAGCAAGCAAAACACACCATGCTTAAGATACAGATAAAACCAGGATTCTTCTAAAGTCCCGAGTTTTATCTGAAACAGATTCCCAACCTCTAAATATGAATCCAAAGTGGGAATATATCATCGTGACCCTCTTGCAGGAAACCAAGGATGTTTAGCTCTGTAAACCTTTGCACACACGTAAGGAAAGAAAAAGGAAGATGAAAATAAACAAGTTTGAACTTGCACCATCTTCCCCCTTGGCAATGTCAAGCTCAGAATCCAATTTCTTCTGAAATCTGGTACAATGAAAAGATTACTTAAACTAAATGCAAAAAGATCCATTTTCATACATATTTTGGTGAGACAGAAAGACAAAACCGTCATGGAAAATATTTAAATACCATGTATTATCTCAAGTCCTGGAAGCCAGCTTGCTTATTAATGCTAAACTTTTCAGTTAAGGGTGCATCTATTGAGACTGAAAGATGCAAAAAAAAGAAATCTGCTATAAGAGCTTTACTTGAAATTTATACAAGATGACACGATTGAATTCTCCAGATCATAGGACATAATAACACATTAACCTTGCAGAAAGAGAGAAGGTGAAAATATAACACGAGGGTTTTTTCATCACGCAGCAATATGAGAATCTCTAGGGCTGGAATGATGCAAGGCAAGAGCCTGAAACTGTCTGAAAAGGTGTTTTAATATTAAAATCCCTTCCCTGCAAACTACACCTATTTCTCTTCTCCGACCTGTTTGCTGGATGCCAATAACTCTGTTGCCTTTACAAAACCCAGGCTCTGGCACGTCGTCTCATGATGACAGCTCTTAAATCACACGCTGCAAAAAAACAAGGTTTCTACGTAAATAACCACGTTGTTGAGTGTTAAACTCGCTGGTCTCTCGAGGTTTAAGCAGAGAGCAGCTACGCACCGCGCCTTGCGCACACATCCGGCAAGGCAGGAGGCTGCAGAATCGGTCCTGATTCTCCATTAGTTCCTAACGAATTCCAGCTTTTTGCTGAAAACCACCACAAGAACTGCAGAGTACGGTTGCAAGGGGCATCTCGCGCATGTTCCACATCTCCTGCAAAGACCGGTGGGGCTCCAAGCCCTACGTCCGAGCCCATCCCCAACAAGAAAAGCAGCACCTGTGGTATTATTCACATTCACAAGCTGTATTTAATCAGTGATGACCACAGCAATTAGAAAGGAAAGCCATCTCCTCAGCCTCTCCCAGTCGATGTAAACCCTGAGCAGGGCAATGTGTAGCGGGTGTGTAGTTACCAGGATGCATTTGCACCTTCAGGAGAACCCTGGATGTCAGAGCCCTGTTTCTCTTCCTTGGCAGATGGAACAAGGACAAAAGTTAAAAAAAAAAAAAAAAAAAAAGAAAGGAGCCTTAAAAAAAAAAAAAAAAAAGGCCTGGTACACCCTATGGATTTGTTTATGTGAATCCTTTACAGACAAATTAATTGCATGACAAATTAAGTGCATGACATGCCAGCTTCCTGCCATGACCATATCATGGGAAGAGCTCACATCAACACAGCAGAGCATCACTGACCACTGACATGCATGAAAATTAACATATTTTATTCCTTAAGTGAAAGTTGGTCTTTAATTTATGAGGGGTCATAGTGTCACATTCTATAATAGTTTTATAAAGTACATTAATTTTTTAATATGAAACCCGACAAGAATTTTTTGCGATCAAATCTTTGCCAAGACGTGGGAAGACCTTGTGTCCTAATTACCGATTGCACGGTTTAGCAAAAGTGCAAACTGGAAAGGTTTTACCGTAGATTAATTTTATCCAGGGACGCTTCGACGGCTGGAGAGCTTTTTGATCCTTCAGCAGTTTGCCGAGACCTCCTCACCTTGCTTTCGCAGGACGAGGGGATGCCCTGCCTGCCCCGGTGACGCCGATTTTACCCGTCCCCGTGCACGGGACGAGCTTTGGCGAGAGCTAATCCCACACTGCTGGGCAAAATCCTCCCCGCTTGCTCTGGAGCAGCCCAGCGGGGAAGGTTTGACTGCTGTAGCTCCAGCACTGCCCCGGCAACGCGAGGAGATGGGATGTCGTTAAACCTGACGACAAAACCCCAAATATTTGAAGCTGCCCGCGAGCGGCTGGGCTGTTCCACAGGCGCCAGCAACGCCGTTTGGCTCAGAGCATGGAGCCGTATCTGTGCCCGTGGGGAAGCGGGACCAGGCTTTGTTGTTTAATTTTATATTTTAAAATATTTTTGGCTCCCTGACAGAGATGACAAGTGTCAATGACAAGGCCAAAACCTGACAGCAGCACTGTAAGAGAAGCGTCCCGGCACCTCCGGAGTTTGCTGCGACCAGTAAAACCCGAGATGCAGGGTGGGAGCTGGTAAACCTGGTACGGAGCAGACTGCGCATGATTTCTCAAAGTGGGTTTTCTCGACAGCATCACGACAAAATTAAGATCACTTTGCATCTCAAATGATGGCAGCAAATTTTAAGAGCATTTCAACTATTAAAAAAACCCAAAAACACTCAACACAAACCTTCAACACCACTTATGCACTTCACTCTGTCTCGAACCTCTACGTTGTAGCCCTCGAAGGACATGAAGACCCCGTCGGGGTGGTAAGGTGCTCGCTGTGTGTATACTTTGGAGTAGCTATGAGAGAATTCAAACCTGTCATAACCATCGTACTGAGCAATTTTCCCATAAACCTCAAAGTATTTCTCTACCCAGCTGAACGGCAGGAAGACTTCGTTGCCTTCCCTCCTCCCTTTAACGGTGTGCTCGTCATTGATCAGACAGTCAATCTCCTCGTACTTCAGCCCCGGGGCTTTATTGCCGTTGAAGCCTCCCGCGACGGGGGGAGCCTTCTGCTGCTCCTGGGGCGATGCCTCCTCGCTCTGCTGCCGGGCCGGGTCGCTCTCGGAGGCG